GCAGGACCTGATCTACAAGACTGGATTGTGTCCTGAGGCAATCTCTTGAGATATAAAAGACAGAAGTGAGCAGTAAGACAGGGGGACCTTGTACCATAAGAAAGCAGTGCCGGGAGCAGAGCACGTCCTTTGGACTGGGGTCCCTGCGCAGAGAACCTCCTAGTCCGGGGGAACACCGAAGAGAAGAAGGCCAACAGAGAGAAAAAGGCTTCCCCTGGAGCTGATACCCTGAGTTTGGACTTTTAGCCTACTTTAACTGTGAGGAAATAAACTTCTCTTCGTTAAAACCATCCACTTGTGGTATTTCTGATATAGCAGCACTAGATGACTAAGACAAGAGGGCATTAACTGCTTGCACCACCCAGAGATTCCCTGAGATGGACAGACCCCCAAATTTCCATGAGACCCTTCCAGAAATGTACCAGCTTTATTCATAAAAGTTCCTGGGCCCTTGCAGGGGGTCAAGGGAAGATGTGAAAGTCACGACCTCTGGTTGGCTGGACCTCAGTTTTTCTGTCTCCATAAAAATAAAAATGGGGCATTTAAGGCTCCTTCTTCTCTGAGTCTGCACAGTACCTACCTCTGAAGGAGAAGTGCCTCAGTGCCATTCACCACCCTCTCCCAACAGCAGACCCTCTCCAGGGAGGTTTAGGTCTTCTCAAAGTGCTGGCTGAGCCCCAGAAGCTGCAGGACCAGCCCCCTCCCTTGAGCCTGGCCCAGGAACTCCCTGCCTAGGGAAGCTGGAGAGCCTGGTCAGCTGGAGCAGCCACCCTCCCCAGGAGCCTGGGCACTTGTCTGAATGCTCAGGCAAGGCCTGGATACCAAGTCAGGAGGAGAAGCAGAGGGGCCTACAGATACGACCCCCCCGCCCCGATCCCTGGGCCTACACGGTACCCATGGCCAGGTTAGGGTTGGAACTGAGTCAAAGAACTTATCATCATACACTCTGCTACATCCCAGCCAGGACCAATCCCAACCACTAACTTTTTTACTGAAGTAAAGACCTAATCAGAGTTTTTCCCTCCCTTCTGCAACCCCAATATGACCCTCCCAACATTATTTAATGAACCAGTTCAAGCTAGAATCAAACCTATATAACTCTTAAATGTTCAGAGCTAAAGCAAAACCAGAACAAAATATTCTCGGTACTGAATGTGAACTAAGCTATCCTATTTCATTCATTCTAAATCATTGGTGAGACGGGCAGTATTGCACAAGAGTCTGTGTTTCCCTGTTTATCACCTTGCTCCATGCCATCTGCCACAGCTTGCAGAACCCTCCAAGATAACTACAAGAGGGCAGAGAAGATGGGGAACGGGGGCCAGGAGGCCAGGGGTCTAGGAGAATGAGGAGGGGCAGAAGTTGGCAGGCAAGAGGCAGGGGAGGTCAGCTGGGTGGCAGAGCTCTCTCTCCTCCCGAATCCCCTTTGCTCCCTCTAGGCAACCTGCCAAAGTGGGCAGAGTAGATGTCTGGGACTCCAGATTCTTGGGTTTCTATTCTGACTCATTTCTTGCCTGGGTTTGTTTTCTGCCCAGTGGCACCTTTGTAGGAAAGTTACCTAGTCTCTCTGCACCTCAGTTTTCCTCTATGGATCACAGAAAGAATAATTCTGCTCAGTGTACACCCCAGGAGAAGCACAGACTCATAAACCGCCAGAGCTGTGCAGGCTTTGGAGCTCATCTCGTCTTGCTCTCCCATTCAGGTACACAGCTATTTGGGGAGGAACTGG